ATACCTGAATAATAGGAAAAACAGGACTCAATTTCTATTACGTCCATCAAATCCTCCAACGGAATCTATGTATATTGACATGTTTGTCTAGCGATTTCTCTTACCAATAGACAAGACTTCATGTTAAGCACTTTCTCTCTTTTGCAAACCGCTTAGATGATCACGAGCACCGATCCATTGTTCATTGAGCCAGTAATATAAATTAAAACATGCACTCTGGGAGAATAAACAATCGTATCTTACTCAAATTTCTCGTGGTCTCAATCGACGTGCAAACTGTAGCGGATTGCTACCTTAGTAAAGCCTGACCGACTCAAAAATCTCTATGGCAAATTCTCCAACCCCTATCTGGACTCCCAGAACCAGAGCCAGATGGAACATGCTTTCTCCACCACCGTAGATGAGCAGCTTCCAATATTTCAGAGCCTCGCTACGGTAAATTTTATATTGTTTATTTTTGTGTCAGGCTGGCAAAATTGATGAAGCTCTGGATAAGTGTTATTCATTGGAGAAACAAACGCGACTGGTAAATTCAATTTTGTTATATATGCTTGCTAGGCGTCTGATGCCATTTCTACTGGACGTCTCCTTGTTTGCATTGTTGATATTCTAGGAGAATTGAAGCAGTGGCAAAAACTGAATGAACACCTGATCATCATGTCAAAGAAAAGAAACCAGTTGAAGCAGGCCGTTGCTAAGATGGTTCAGGCTGCCATGAAATTCGTGAATGAGATAACGGACGAACAAATAAAGCTAAATTTGATTAATACATTAAGGGCTGTTACCGAAGGAAAGGTATTTCGTTTACCATCCTATATTTCTTTTTTCCTTGCCTATTGCTCATTTGTGTTGCTTTTAGATCTATGTAGAAGTTGAAAGAGCTCGTTTAACTAAAATCCTTGCTCAGATCAAAGAATCTAATGGACTTATTGAAGAAGCAGCAGATGTTCTTCAGGAGGTTAAAGTCGAGACTTTTGGTTCGATGGAGAAACGGGAGAAGGTGGAGTTTATATTGGAACAGATGCGACTTTGCTTGGCCAAAAAGGACTACATTCGAACACAAATCCTCAGCCGCAAAATTTCTTCTCAGTTCTTCAAGGAAGAAGGTACTGAGGATTTGAAACTGAAGTACTACCGTCAAATGATAGAGGTTGATATTCAGCAGGACGAATATTTGGCGATTAGCAAGCATTTCTGGGAGATCTACTCCACAAAAATAGTCCAGGAAGACCCTTCTGAGAAGAGAAATGTAACTTTCGTTAAACTTGAATCTATTCAGAATATTTAGGCCCTTTGCAACCTCGTTGTCTACTTGGTTCTTGCACCTTATGACAATGAGCAGAAGGATCTGATGCATCGTCGCATGAAATTGCGCGATCTTGAAGCTTTGCCAGAATATATGTACGTTAGTACTACTTATTACTCACTTAGCTGTTACCTTATATGCTTGAAGGCCCGTTGTTCCTTTAGTCAAATTCTGAAGACCTTCACGACTCAAGAGCTTGTTAATTGGAACGATTTTCACTGTGCACACGAGAAGACCCTCAGGAAAGAGACCTTGGCTTTCGCATGTTCTGCAGGTCGTGAGAGAACCCAAAGGGCCATGAAGGCTTTGCAGGAACGTGTCACTGAGCACAACATTCGGGTCATTTCCACCTACTATACCCAAATCCGCCTTTCTCGATTGGCACAGCTTCTGTATCTCAGTGTTGAGGTTAGAGCCCCCTCTTTTTCCACTTTTTTGTATATCTGATTAGAGGTCCTTCACCCATCGATCATTATTTTATACACCTTGTTTCGCAATATTTGCAGACATTTTTACTGTTGTTAATGTGTCTACTCAGATGTGGTGCAATTATTAGGCATAGTACCTGGCCTTATTAGTGAAGGGATTTGTGAATGGAGCCCCATTTGCCATTGCTTGTGTACTTCGATTGTGCATAGTATGTCTTTTGGTCTTTTTAGGAGGCTGAGGATTGTCT